AACTCATTGTCATAGCCAACATTTAGCTTAATAATTTAAATGGACATTGGGTATTACAAAGGGAGGCCCCTGTTACAGCAATCCCTGCAGATCTTATCCCACAAACAATCCCTGCAGCACTGCACACTCACGTGTGTGAGGCACCCTTCCCTGCGTGGTGACAAGGGATGAAGATGTGTGGCTTGGAAAGTGTATCAGGGAGTAAAGCTTGAAGGGATGGGGAAAGCATACAAGTAGGAGCTCTGCAACCAAGGAACAGCAGATGTTTTAATAAAAAGAACTCTTCTAGTAGGTTTTTGATGCTTAGTATCAGAATGCTTTGTGTGAGTCTTCATTATTTCCCAGCCCGAAGCCCTGGCACCTGAAGCCTCTGTGGTTCCCATGCTCAATGCATGTTAATACACCTTATGTTCCCTGGTTCAAACAGAACCACAGTGTGACCAGATTTTCTGACCCAAAAGCCCTTATATCAGGCGGGAATCAATCCCTTTAGCTGCTGCCTGATTTATGTGAGAGCTGAGCCTGTCACTGGCCAGCTCACTCATGTCTGCTTGGATTGAGGAGCTGTGCTGCGTGGGTTTTCCTTCAGGATATGCAGCCATGGGACTTTATGTATTACCAGATGCTTCGCAAAACACCTTTTGAAATAATCGAGTATCTGCAAATGAATTGGAAACTCTTCTCTCCACCATCTCTGCAAGGACATTACTCAGTCGAACGCAACCAGAAAATTGAAGGACTGAGAATTTTCAATCAGCACTGGAGTGATTAATTGTCTCGGAGCACTCACAGGTGACATGCACAGCAAACAACAAGGAATGACACCTCACGGTTCATAATGAGAGGTGCGTCTAGGAAGCACAGTGATCCACAAAGGGGAAAGAGATGGGAGAAGAAAGGTCAAATTTACTACATTAAATTCACAAGGTTAATAATAATGCCTCAGCATCATGCATATTCATCTGACTCCTTCACTTCAGCTGAGCCAGCACCGCTGTCCCTGATTCTGATGTTACCCTTTAACAGAGGCAAAAGAAATTCGTTCCTTTTAACCTATAGCAAAAAAGGTTTGTGGTAAGACACACCATTACATAGATGCTGTGTGGATGGGCAGTTGCCATTGCTCATCTGAGGCACTAACTTGTTAAGGCACGTGGAAACATCAGGACACACACCACGAAGGAGCAAGGTGACAGCTGCATCTCTTGCACACAACTCTACAGGTAGATATGGAAGATGGGCACATGTGTGTGCAGGTGCCACTGTAGACATCCAGTTGTGGAAATTGCATGTCTAACCTGGGTGCCTTTGGACATAATAAAGAGTCAGATTTTGGTAGAGGCTCAAGACAGGGTCTTCTCTTATGCAACATGTGCCCCCCTGGCACTGGGGGCTTGCACATGGTCCCCTGCCAAGAATCTGGAGGTGGTATGTGCAGCTGGTGCCACCCTGGGCCTCAGCACTGGCACATCTCACTGAGCATCTTGACGCTGGGTTTTCATCTGGATTTGATGTGCAAATTGAGTGCCCTTCCCACACCAGTCTTCCCCTGGATCTGAAAATGGAACCTCCTTCTCTTGAAGCCAATAATTATTTCCATGATATATATTTAATAAAGGCACCCATCCAATACTTGTGGTCTCCTGGTATAATTAATCAAGAAATTAAATTCAGTCTGTGCAGTGTTCAAATCAGTTCCACAGGAATAACACTGGTTGATTGGCACTTACCCTGTTTGTCATCAAAAGATCCTTTGCCATTACAGCCTATTTTAGAAACTGCAGTGAGTTTCAGAAACAACCAGTATGGGGCTTCCAGGAGCCCACACAGAGGATATCCCATCCACATCATCTGCTTTTCCAGCTGATGTCTGATCAACTTGCCCATGGAGGGCAAGTTAATTCTGCACTCGAGGCCTCAAGGGTTGGAAACACCACTCCAAAGTTCTCCTGGAGAGCACCAGGCAGATGCTGGTTGCTTCTTCTGAGTGTTTTCTCTATCTACCATGGACACATCTTGAGCCAACAGAGACATGGGCCATATCACAAGTGTTTGTGTGAGAAAAAAAGGATCCCATTTCCTCACCAGATACATGGTAAACACACAGTGGAGATATTTCTACAAGAGGACCATCAAAAAACACCCAGGGATTTCTCATCACCCAGACAGACCTCAACCATTCCCTCTGGCTGTCCATAACTTTCTTATTATCACTGCTGCTCTACCTGGGTAGTGTCCCAGCTGGCTGCTCTTCATCAGTCTCAGCTAGCAGCTGCTCACTGCCCAGTGACATCCAAAGAAGGAAAGAAAGCCTTTGGCTGTTGCCCATCCCTCAAAGGCTTCAATATGCTGGTGGGAAGGAAGGACAGAGAGGTTCTGAGCTGTACCTGTTACCTGAAAGCCCCTCAGGAAGAGGCACAACTGCTCACTCCCCCACAGCAATCTCTGTGAGGAGCGCAAGCAAAGCCCCAACACACTGTGGTCACCGTGGGGGCTGACAGAAAGCAGAATGTCCCACAGTGCCCTCAGGGCTGGGTGCAGCCCATGTGTGCCACTGAGGCATATTCTGCCACTCAGGACCAAACAGATCCTGTAGTGGAGACAGAAGCTTGCTCTTTTCTTCCTTGGGGCCACAAAACCAAAATAAATAGTTGTTGCCACAAAACTCAGAATAGCTTTAAAACATTGGTTTTTTTCTGACAGCAGTCACTACCTGTCTCTGATCTCCACCTTGTCTTTTGCAGCTCCTGGTGAAGCTGCTTGGGAAAAGCACAGGCAGGAACCTGCTTGTGGGGAGAGGAAGGGAAAGCAGAGGAAAAAGTCCCTTGGAGGAATAGGACTGACCCCATCAACCTCCCTGAAAGATTCTGGTGCCCTTAGATACAGGTGGTAAAAGCAGGTGCAGCCGTTTCTCCGTTTGATGCAGTGGAGCAGTTTGTCCAGCCCCATATCTGGATTCTACCCTGTCCCAGCCAGCCAGCACCTGCACTGCACAAGGGATACTACCCTGATGGGGTATCCAGGCACCCTAATATCTCCCTGGGGATCTGATCCCAGGGATCCCTTCTTCTTAAAGATGTCCTGCAATTCCTGATGTTATTGGGAATTTATTGGTTTTAACATCCATGCTATAAATCTCCCTTTGCAGCTGTTCTGCTCTCAGACAAAAATAACTCATGAGTCTGGGAACAAAACTCTCAGAAACAACTGGCCAGCCCATTGCCACGTGTTCATTCTCAGAACATTGGGACTTTACATACTAAAGCTGTACACTGATCATACAGGATTAAACTGATAGTTATGTTTAATACACACTTGCAAAAGGAGCATGTAAAAAGCATGTAGTGTGTAAAAACTCACAGTTCAGGAGCACGTCCCAAAGGAGAGCCTACAAAACTTGTTCTTGGGTGGCTGTTGAGTTGGGGTCCATGCCCATAATCCTGGCACTGGAAAATAATCCAGAAGATACACTCTGTATAGAGAGAGTGTATATATATCTATATATATCCTTTGGAAGGAAGCTGCCTTCAGTCCCACATGGGTTCACTGGGCACGAGCACAGATCCCTCCCATCCACCATCCTGAGTGCATGAAGAGCTGAATGCAGCTGTGCCAGCTCTGTCCCAATGTCCTAATTGAATTACCTTCCATCATTGCCCACAGAAACAGGCAGGATCTTCCCTTAAATCAGCAGCAGCTGACATTTTCCCCCCCACCAGCCAAGCATGAATCACCCTGAAATGGAGGTCAAGATCCTTATTTCCCAACAACTGAGTGTTAGATGGAGCAGAGGAGCTTGAAAAGGATATTACACATCACCTCCTTTTCCCCTGCTCCAGCACCAAGCTGTGTCTCCCCTGGACACTCCATGCACTCTGTACCATCCATCCATGCTGCCATTCATTTTGCAGGACCTCACCCAAACCAAATGCTAGAAGGGTCTCTCCCAGTCAATATCCATCTCCCCTTCAGTGCTGCTCCATCGTGCACTTGTGTGCTTGTGCTGGAAATGCTACTCTGGGGAAAGGCATCAAAGGAAAGGCCTGTTCTGGGAGCTGTGGTGCATGTCCGTCCTTGGAGCCCCACTTCGCTCAGGGCCAAGCAAAGAGGGGACCCCAGGGGCTGCAGCTCTGCAGAGCTGCCATTGCTGAATTTGCAGAGGCAGGAAGACAAGTCTGGGCCCCCCCTCACATCCCTCAGCACCTGCACTTGATCTGCTTCCCAGGAGGATGGCCAGCAACAGGGAAGACCATGCTCCTCCCTATATCCACATCCTTCCATCACTGCTCCCCAGGCTACTACCACCAGAGTGGCTTCCCCCACTGCAGGTGTTTTCTGCCACCAAAACAAGCAGAGCTGAAGATGCCCCCCTGGCAGCCTCTTTCCAGCAGCTTTGAGGTGGGTTCCTGCCAGTCCCCTGGCAGGAGGGCGCCCCTTATCACAGCCCTGGCATAGACTGTCTGCCAGCCCCAGCTCTGCAGCCCCTGGGGGCCAGGTGGTGGGATGCTGTGCACGGCAGAGCGTGTCCCTGCCGCGGGCAGGGGATGCAGCTGGGAAACTGACCCCAGGGAGGAGCACCCGCTCCCCCGCAAAAAATGAACCCCTCCAAAAAGAACCACAAAAAAGTTCGCGCCTCCTGAAATCGACATTTCTCAGCAGGGGCTGCTGCACGGACAGCTCGGGAGCCCCGCGTCATCCCCACGCCCGTGAGCAAAGAACGGGGGGAGGGGGAACTGCTCCGGAGAGTGACCCCTGCGGGACCTCTGTCCCGCGCTGCGCGGAGCCGGCACCGCGCGGGGGTCGGGGTTGGGTGGGCCGTGTCGTTCCACGCGTGTCCGCAGAAAGTGCGGGGACCGCGGGGGCCTCCGGCGCCCCCTCCCCGTCGGGCGGCCGAGCCGAGCCGAGCCAAGCTGAGCCGGGGGCCGTGGCTGCACCGCCCCGCCGGCGCTGCCGGGGGAGTGGTTTCCCCGCGCTGGCGGCGGCGGGGCCGGTCTGCGGGCGGGGAGGTGCCGCGGCGGCGGTGCCAGCGCCCGGCCCGGGAGGATGCGGACGCGCTGACGGAGCTGCCGGCTCCCCTCTGCCGCCGTGCATGGGCGGCGGGCGGCTGCCGCCTCGCCTCGCCTGCCCCGCCGGTGAGCCGGGACGAGGGGCGGGGGGTCTCCGCCGGGATCGCGGGGCTGCGGAGAGGGGGAGAGCTGCCACCTGTGAGTGCCCCGCTCGCAGCCCCGCGGGGGCCGGGCCGCCCGTGGCGGAGCCGGGCGCTGGGGCGGTGGGTCCGGTCGGTGCGGGTCCGGTCCGTGCGGTGCGGGGCGGCGGCGGGGCACGGGAGCCCCTGGAGCGCCGTCCCGCTGCGGGTCCGTGCGATGCGGGTCGTGTCGTGTCGTGTCGTGTCGCGTCGGGTCGGGTCGGCAGCCGGGAGCGGGAGCTCGGAGCGGGGAGAAGGGTGTCAGTCCCACGCCCGGCTGCGGGGAGTTACGGGGGAAGGAGAGGGAGAACGCGCGCCTCTGCCGCGGCTTGTTTCTCCGGATGCTTGGGTTTTTTTCGAGCAAAGGGTGTTAAAGAGAATTCACTGAAAAAAAAAAAAAAAAGGGTTCTCGTTAAAAAAAATCATCATCACCCAACCGAAAAGGCTGCGTGAAGGAATCCTGATGAATGAGCGCAGCGCTGAGGGAGTTGTTGGTTTGTGGGCTGCGATCGCCTCATCTATTCGTTTATGCCGGGTTTTTTTTCCAAGGCAACTTTTGAGGCGAGGAAGCGGCTAACAAAGCGCAAGTTTAAGACAATGATGCTTTTGCTTGCAGCCGAGATGAACTGAAAACTGAAATCCTGCATTTCCCATCAGGTAGCAAATACCACACATCGGACTACTTTTAGAGAATGAAAGAACCTACTTTGCTCTGTAAATGAGGACTATGTTTCACTCTGAGCAAGGGGTGTGAGTATTTTCCAGATGCCAAATGAACATACCACAAAAATTTTCTTTTCATCTGGGACAGAGCCGTGTTTGTAGATCTCTGAATATGGCTACAGTCGTGGAGGGGAGTTGGGTTAGCCTGGATATAGCATTAACCCCTCCAGCCACAATAAGCAATACACAGAGAGAAATTTGTTTCCATTAGTCTTTTCCTGACTGAGATCCTTACTGCAATTGTACAGTCAATACAGCAATGGAAGCCCTTCTGGCTATAGGTTCACATCCTACTGAAGGACTCAGAGCTGGTGTTCACACCTGCCCTGTAGCCTGGCTTGCTGCACAATGCCTCCTTATTAGTAGCCTGTAAAGGAAGGTGAAGCAGGAAAATCTGCCTACACACAACCAGGCTCAAGCCAGTGTTTTCCATCTCTTAGTTTTAATGAGCAACAAATTTTGTGCCCAGAAAAGAATCCAGCTCACAGCTCGGGATTTCGATAATTAATATTCCATTTTAAAAACATGTTTTCAGAGTCAACATTATGATTACAGGGAGAAAACAAGCAAACAGGCAACATTATGATTACAGGGAGAAAACAAGCAAACAGGGAATGACTTGACCCAGTTTCCTTGCTTTCCCAATCTAGCTTGACAATTTGTCAATCAGGTGGAATTTCCTCCAACGTCTTTGGTACGTTACTTTAGCAGAAGAAATGAATGTGCAAATTTAGTCACTACTTTCCCTCCCTCCTCACAATGATCTCTTTGTATTAAGCAACAGGCTTTTCCATAGATCAGGTACCAACTCCACCGTGTCACAGGCTGAAATTGTTCCTTCTTTCTCGTTTCTGAAATTATGTCCCTGTGTTTGAGCCTGTTTAACCACTTCTATGTCGGAGAGGTCTGTCAGAGAAGTCTTGATCTGGGACAGATCCTATGTCATGCAAGGCAGGAAGAGCTCTGCCTTCAAGGAAACTAGCATCTGCCTCAGCAATAGTGCGTCCCTTTGCTCCTCAAATGTGTACTTTTTCTGGAAAATTCTGAATAATAATCAATTTCCTGCATTTTCAGTCTTCAAGGGAAGGCTTTGTTGCAAACCCCAGGAGAGCTGCCAGATAATAATATTCAGGTACAAGGAAGTAGACTGATTGATACCAACAGGTCCTTAAAATCTCATCTCAGCCTTTCTCCCTCTTTGATTGCAAGTCCACAGGGGCTGGGACCACCTCTCCTTCGTGGTTTGAAGAGAGCGTGTCCTCTGCAAAGCACATACCAGTGGTGGAAGAAGCTGTGGTCCATCAGGACAGTCCTCTTTTCTCATCAGGGTTCATTGATTGATCCCAGAGCATTTCACCTCGTAGTGCCCATATCCCCATGGGAGTAGGAGAAAATAGTCCAAGTCCAGCTTCTTTGCTGAGACCACTGCAACTTGTGTAAGATGTGACCTGAATTTTTAGTTGAGTTCTGTCTCTGACAGGCACATGCATAAACTGCCTCTGTGCAAATATTTGGGAAACCTCTAGATCCAGAAGGTGAATGTTAATTGGTTGGCAGGAAGACTCATAGCCTTGTTAATGCTTATCTGCTTTCAGTGTTAATGACTCATTAAAAAAACCCCTGAATTTTAATTTTTTTAATAATTCCTTTATTTTTAGCTGTGTGTTGTCCTCATCCTCCGTCTTGCCCATTCCTACTGTGATAGGACACAGTGTTCTCATATCTTCCACCTTGGGCTGGGGCAACTTCCCATGCTTGGAAATTCAATTTGGGTGACAGAGTTTTAATTCCTGGAGAAAAAACAGCTGCATATTTGGTGTTAGGTTGTGATGTCATGACACCTACGGTTGTGCTCTTAATTGCCAAGAGGCAATATTAATAGTCGCTTCATTGTCTTTATTCTCTTAAGAGTGTCTGGTAGGTTCTTGTTTGCTGGGTTTTTTGTGTGGTTGGGTTTTTTTTAATCTTAACACTTTTACTTCATTTGCTTTTCTAACGTCTCTAGAAATGCTTGATATTGTATCATGTTACAGCACTGATAGCACCGTATTCTAATTTCCACAAAGTTATAAGGAGAGAATTAATTTATCTTTTAAATAAATACTGTTCTATCTGACTGCACTTAACCTCTTATCCTACTCCTTTACCTAGAAATGAGCCCAGTGATAGACTACTTATTCTTTCATAGTGCCAGAAAGACATCAGAAATTTCACAATCCATTTCCCATGACATTTCAATCTAAGAATCAAGTACTCTGTGTTGATGCTCTGAAATGTTTTTCCCCTCTCATCTGCTCATGGGACTGTGGCATGGATTCAGGACTATCCAGACATACCTAGGGAATAGTAGAAAGAAGCACAGGAAGCCAGTTTTCATCTGCCACCAGTTCCCATGGGTGCTGCAAGGTGAGGGACAATTGTGGTGTGAAATATGAGGGATAAGAGAAACAACATCTTTCAGAGAAGATCTCAGAAACAAAACCATTTCTTTCTGAGACCCTTTACTAACGATTGCTCTGAGTTAGAAGGGATGGTAGAGTAACATGTAAGGTGCTCGCTTTGTAAGATTGTTTTGAGAAATTAAAGCCAACACAAAGTTCACTGTGTGAGCAGAGCTCAGAATCGCTCTGCTTGGCGCAGGCATTTCCAATATCAAAAGCAGGTTCTCAGATGAGAGAGTATTTGCACAGCAAGTACCAGAAGAGATAGGTCTAAAAACATTTAACAGCTTGTTGAGGCTTATCTCTAATTTTGATGGGGCTGTTTTCTTAATGAGGTCCTCTCACATCAATTAGCTGCTGAATCTGATGTTAGAAAAATAAATCCAAACTTTCTCTTGGCACACGGTTCCATGAAGGCTCTGTGGAGATTTCCACGATATCGAGGTCTACCAGCATTCAGAGGAGCTGGCTTAGTCATTCTTCCCATCTGCTCTGCTTCTTCCTCCCTCCACTGCTCTACACATTCTTCCTGGCTGTCTGCTCCCCTTCCCTATCTCTGAGCATCCTGGCTGGCTGCCCCCCTCTTCTCCCCTGCCGTACCTATCCCTTGTGGCATCTTTCACGAGAAAACTCAGGTAGTTTAGTGCTGAGATCAAAGAGCTGAAATAAATGAACCTCTTTAAAGGAGGCAAGAAAAAAGAAAAGAAAAAAAGAAGAATCCACCAAGGCAGCACCCATAGCAAACAGCATTGCAAAAAATCATTTGAGAAAGCTTTGAGTTGAATCATCTCCCAAATCATGAGATTGCTTTAAAAATTGTGATAGTTGAACACAGACACATTTTAGTTCCTTTTAATTCTTCTTTGACCATTTACAAATCAAGTTTCTAGCTCCTTTTTGCCAAGAGGGCCGGTAGGAACTTGGACAACTACAGCAAACCGGAAGTCAAGGTTTGTGTGTAGCCATGGCGCTACAAGAGCTGAGGACATACAAAGAACAGCGCCTCCCTAATGCCTCACTGTGAAACACCAGGAGTCGAAGAGGCTGAGTTAGAGTCATCTACCAGTACTGGCCCTTTGAAAGCCAGTGCTTTGTACTGTTGGTAGTCCACAGATGAGTGTTTGAGAAATTCCCCAGGGTGATATTTACCCCAGTAACTTCTTTGGAGCAGGAACAGTAAAAACTGCAGCTTGCCATGAAGTTAGCAGTGAGAGGCTGCACGGTCTGGAAATAGCAGCCTCCTACCCCTTTTCACTCTCCCAAACTACGTGCTGTGTCTCATGCTGAAATGCCTGCTCCTCCACTTTGAGAGTCATTTCATCTCACTGCTTCCTGAGAGAGATCGACATCTTCTGTGGAGCACACGCTGCCGAGGAGAGGAAGGCAGCTTTGGCCTGTGGAGAGCAGAACTCAAGTACTGCGTGGGTGGCCAAAGACAAGAGCTTCTGAAAGGAGGGAATGGAACAGATCTCTAATCTCCAGACTCTGACACATATCGCACTTTTCTCAGTTGCTTAGGAAAAAGATTTGCATCCAAAAAGAAGTGGGAGGTTTAAATAGGAGTTCATACATTTATCTTCTGTGGTCCATGCGGTGATTTACATTTTGCTGGTCCCATGGAATCCATGACACTTTATAAAGTGCATCCATTACAAATGCGCATCCAGGAGAAACAAAGGCCCTGTCCAAGCTCCTATCCATAGTGTTCAAAAGCTGAGCTCAGTAGCAGTCACAGAAACTGGAGGCCGTGGAGTGTAACTGAGGTAAGTGCTTGTTTTGGGTTGTGCCAAGATGCTGGAGCTGTTGTCCCATCCAGAGGTACTGGGCATGATCCAGGCCACCAGTAAGGGTCTAAGCCAGAGTTCTGTCCTCCTAGGACACTAACAGAAGACTGAGACATAGAAGAGTTGGATCCACAGAAGTGCCTGGCCTTAGAAAATGCCAGCTGATGTTTCCTTGCATGGACGTGCACCCTTCATGGCTTCATCCACCACAACAATTGTAGCTCTGCCCTAGATCTCCCACTCATCCACCCCGGCTGAACTGACAGCCTGATTGACTGCAGCAGAGTGGCCCAAATAAGGAACCCTTTCTTCTTCTAGGTGGCAAAACCTCCTTGGACCTGTTTGTTTACTGGGACTTGCTGAGCAGGGTTTACTGTGACCCATCGAAATTTTCCACTCTGCCGAACGCAAGCAGTAGATCATTGCTCCTCCTGCCTAACGCCGTTCTTGTGCACGCCCTGCCCCAATTTTCCTGGTAATCAATAGCAGGGGTTTCTTTTTGTAGCACATACAAAGGCTTGACTCCTTGAATGAAAGAAAGTTTGCATTTATCCAGAGGCTGCGGTGGGGTGAGGCGAGGGGGGGCCCGGATGCCCAAGGCTGAACTCCCGGTTTGTTTGAGGCGCTATCTGGAATCAGTGGGAACCATGTGTGCGCTGTGATTGCGCGGGCGAGCACCCGGAGCTCTGTCTTTGTGGTGCTCCTGTGCATGAGGCTGAGCCAGCAGAGCCACATGGGGGGAGTCTATCCAGCACAATTTAAGTACAGGGCTGGTAAAGCCCTTGGGATTGTCCCATTGAAATAAGGAGGGGACGGCTCCCGTTTCTGACGTGCCAGGAAAATGATAGGTTTGCTAGTGGAGCAGTGGTTTAAGGCCAATTTCTGCCTCCTATCTACACTTACTTTTTAGAAGGTGCACCTTCAATGTGGTATTGTTTGGATGTTATCATAATATTTCCATGACTGCTTAGTGGGGGAATGATTGATTTGGGAAGCCCAGGAGAGGAAGAGGCCAGCCTGCAGTCCCTGCTAATCTAGCACCAGCGCTGACACCCTGAGGTCAGGTCTCCCTCTGCCACCCAATTGTCTCCAACACTGGGGCACCTCAGGGAGATGTGATGCTTGCAGAGTAGGAGGAATCTCTAAGTAGAAGTGCTTTGATTTGGGAGGTGCTGCTGCCAGCTGGGGAAGGGTTTGGGGCTCAGAGCCTCTGAAAAGTGCTCCTTTATCAAGTGGACAATCTGTGGGCTTCCAGGATTGCAACCTGTGGCCAGTTCCTATTTCTGTTTTGCCCAATGAAGCATGCTTGCCTTGAAAACATCTACTTTGCAATTCACAGTGGATTTATCCCAGAAAGGGACCTCTGCTGCTGTGCATGGTGGAGTCCTCTCCCTGCATGGCAAGGCCGGGCATATCTGAGGAGAGAGAGCAGGGCTGGGCTTTCCACACACCCTGGCTGGCCAGAACTGCTACCCAACATCCTGCTTCTGCTTCTCGTGCCAGTTTTTCTCCTGTGCGTTGTGAAACCACGCTGCTAGGACAGACTGCGTCCTTGGGATGTCGAAGCTCCAAACATGCAGTGTGTTCCAGACGCTGGGAGAGAAGTGGGAGAGAAGCCCAGAGAGCACCTTTGTGGGCCTGGGTTTGTGACCCATGGCAAGCAGCACAGGTGGAAATCCATCCCTTTGTGTGGGCTGAGGGCCTTTGGTCTGGGCAAGGGGTCCACCACTGAAGTGTTGATTGGTTTCACTGATGAAAACAGTTCCCTTATGATTACCTTGCTTGGTGCTACGGCTCCCAAAGAGGCAAGACATGACTAACTCATTGGAGTAGTCCCTAAATCAACTGTTCTTTGCTGGGAGGTATAGCAGGGCTCTGCAAGCCCAGAGTAGGGGTGGCCAGGCAGTGTCACTGGTCTCTGAGACTTGACTTGATCACTGTTAATGGCAGCACAGCTGTGTTGGTACTCCTGGAGCCAGAGAAGAAGGTGATTATCAAGCTGAGGCAAAGGAGGGCAAGTTATTTTGGTGGCAGAAGATAGGTAGGTTGGGAGAGGGTGCATTGAGCAAGTGGGCTCTGGGCTGGAAGGAAAAGGTGTATAAAAGTGAGAAGAGACAAGAAGAGATAAGCAGAGAAAGGCTTTACTTGAGTAATTTCCAGACTGTTTCCATTACAGTAAAATTTGTTGCATGGTCTCAGTAGCTGTGCCTTGTTTTTAAAAGATTAAGCAGTATCACAGGAGGAAAGGTATTAGTTTATGTTTCCTCTAGTGTCAGCCAAAGAAGGTAATCACATCTATTAGGCAGGTAAAGTGAGTATTTTCTCTTCAGAGATTAAGTGCATTCTGGTAGTTCTATACACTGGAAATAATGAACTCTACAACAATCTTGACTGGGAAGAAGGTTTTCTATTTTTAAATATGGCTGTGGGGCTGGAATAAGGGACTTCTTGCTGCAGTCCTGAATTGATTTTCTTTTTATTACAGCTTTCAAGTGCTGAGCACCAGGGGCTGATGTCCCCTCTCCAGCACAGTAGCACCATAGGAGAGACTTGCCCAAAACACTGGAGAGGGGATTGGGCTTGGGTCAATTCAATCCAGAAGTCCTTTGCTGAGACTGGAAAGCAACAGATGTGGGTTTAGTTCATTCAGTACTGCATGGATCCTTATATGCTACTAACCAGGCATCTGAAGATATCTCTAAATAGCAAGTGGCCTGGCCTGGATTCCAACCAGTGGCCATGTGGTGCCTGGTTTGTAATCTCTTACACCCTTTTGTCTCTCATTTACAGGTGACTCAGTGTAATAATTGTTCTTATGACATCCAGTCTTTTCTGAAGGAGACATTGAAGGTAGACAAGTTCATGTGGAATTTTCGTAGGTTTAAAAACAGAGATTTTGTAATGGGTAGTGGGATAAAAATCTTCTTCCCAGAGTATTGGATAACATGATATCAGATGCTATCTCGTTTTCATAAGAGACAAGCATTGAATGTAGTCATGAATTTTTAAGGGACAAAACATTAGCCTCTCTGAAGTTGGTTTGGTCATTGGTTAGAAAGGAAAATTGCCAGACAAGAATTAAACCTTCTGAATTTAATCCTGGGGATGGAGAAGTGATTTCCTGCTTCTCTAATTTGCAATAACCATGGCCTGTGGCATGAGAAGAAACTCCAGAATGCTATGCTCAATTTTTCGTCTCTCACTGTTTTTGAATAAAGTCAGTGTGCAGTTAATCCAGTGTTATAAATCTTGGTAGGCTTCCAGAGCAGGTAGATTTGTTTAATCATTTGGGCTGGAATCCAAACCACTGGAGGATATAAAATATATACACTAGTGCCATTCACTTCACTGAAAACACCTTTTTCCCATCCAAGGAAATAGCTGTGGCTGGCATGAATATATATTTGGAAAGCTGTAGGGCTAAACAAATTTCTCAGAAAATCATCTCTGGCCAAGATACTGACTATATTTCAGCACTGTAACTCCTCAAGCTTTTCAGCTAAGGCTTTCTGACAGAGAAGTCATCAGAAATCAGTGACTCACAGTTTGAAATGGTGGGATCCTCACCTCTGCTCAGCAGGCTCCCTGTCCTGATACCAGTCAAAGTATTACCTTCAAATTGGAGTAGACCTTTGAAAAAATCAGTTCTCCTGTGACTTCTGAAAGAACCATGCAGTAATGTAATCTTAACGTATCCTTCTTTCAGCATATGTTGTCTTCTTTGTGTCTTGACCAGTAGCTTCTTGAGCAGGAATCTCATTCTTTGATGTTTTGAACTGTGTCTCACTAAACAAACCAATCCTGCCAGATATGGGAATATATTTTTATTTTCTAATTTTCCAGCTATCATTAAAATTTCTGTATGGGAGAATTTCAGAGTGTCCCAGTTTCAGCAGTTTTTGTGTAACTCACTCTAAGGAATAAGGTTTAGCATCACAAAAAGAGTCAGGTTGCGAGCTATTTCAGCTAAGAGCTTTGAATGGGTTTGGAACATTAATTGACTCAGTAATTCGCAAGGTGCTCTCTGAGCTTTGTCCTTAGTGAGATCAAATCCCATCTTGCATAGAAAATGATACAGACCTTGACAGCAGGAGTTTCTGCAGCAAGCTCTTGGTAGTACTCTTTCACACCAGTCCCTGCCAGCGTTGTCCCTTTGGTAACATGCTCTGACTCTGTTGTGTTTGTCTCTTTCAGGCACTTTTAGGATTTGACAGTTTGCGGGACACTTCATCAGCGACGCAAGCGCCTGCAGCAAGGACAGTTTTTGGAGGCGACATCCGTTGATGTGATTGAAGGTAACGTGCTCTCTTCTGTCATTGCTCTCTACTTCCATTTATCCTCTACAGAGCCTCGTGCTCCGTCCAGGATCAGACCTCAGTTTGGTGCATGTCAAGAACTGACTCTTGTTTTGGGTAACAGCTCTTCCAAATCATGGCTTAGCTCGTCCCATAAAATGTGTTGGTTCCCATCTCCTTAAGGAAATCCTTGCTAGCATCACACAACCTGCCTATTTTCCATAGCCACATAAGTGCTGCACTTTTTTGAGTCTCGAAGCTGGTTTTCATTCAAATGCTGCTTTGCCCCCAGGAATTTCACAGGTCAGTTTTGCCCTCTGTTCAAAAACTAAAATAAAAATGAGCACTTTCTCATGGGAGGTGGTTTGGCACTTGTCAGCCTGTATATTGCTCTGTATGTTACTGACCTTGTTAGTGCCATCACAAGCAGCAGAAAGCGAGCTCTGCATTTCCTCCATGCCTCTGGAAAAGATCAACATAATGTGGGTTTGCAACTGTAGCACTTGCATTTAAGATAGTCTTCTCTAAATGTAGTTTTCTCACAGAAATGCAAGAAGAGATTTTGCTTTTTTTTCTCCTAATTGGTATATTTGTGCTTAATTTAACCTAGGGGAAGTAATGTATCTCTTAATTCACTGCCACAAGAATTTTAAGGTTCAGAGTAGATGACTCATCTACCAGAACAGAATTTATTCTTTGTTTGTAAATGCTATTTATTGCCTTGTTTTGCATCACTATGGCTACTGTATGTCATTGGTGATACCAGCATCTATCATACATAAAATGAATGCAAGACCGAATTTAAGAGCTGTAGTTATTATAATTGTTTGTATCACCCACTTTTCTGTTGTATGTTAGTATATTTCACATAAAAGCAGCACTAAAAGTGGCTTAATATTTTCCCATCAACACTGGCTGAAAAGTAAAAAATTCTGCACATGAACCTTATGACAGTTTAAAAAGCCCTAAGCAGCAGCACCAAGCCCCTTTTTTCAGGTTATGTGGGTTTATAAACAGTTCAGTGATGTTCTACAAATGATTTTGAAGTTTCAGGTGAAAGATTTGCAGCGGCATTCACAATTATTTTGCATTAGTTATTTTTAATGTTAAACACCTAGTTAGGTTTGTTAGAAGCATCACTGTTTTCACAGCCCATATAGATTCTTCTGCATTCCTTTAGTGTTTCTAAGTGGAGACTGGGAACAATTAATCTATTCCAGTTAAAGCCTAATTATTTTACCAATTGCATGGCCCCATGTTCTTTTCTGAAACACATCAAGTACAATCACTTCTGCCATCCTATTCAATCAAAGCCTTAAGTTGCACAGATTTTGTGAAATGGCCTGGGCTTCAACAGCTTGGGAGCTGATTCACTGAGGCATCTGCTGTAACACTGGCAGGACTGTCACCATTTTTCTAGCCCGAATCATTTGTCTTTGTCATTTAGAAATAATCTGCAGGGTATAATGTGGTCTTAGGGAAGCACGGAGCCTGTTATTGCTCAATAATAGAAGTTTGTGAGGTCTTAACAACATCTTTGAGCTCATATGACACATTTGACAGTGCATGTGTGGATGTATATCTCTAATGTCCCATGGAACAAGGACAGAAAAACATTGTAAACCCTTGCTATGCATTGAAAGGCTGCTAAAATAAACCAGCCAGCTATGACTGACTGCTGGAGTCTGCTGCTGGCTAGCAGGGACCAACCCTTGGGACACACAGCAGTGGGACATGTCTTATCTGTTGTTGCCAAGACCCACACTTCATAAATACTGACCCCACACAAAGGCTCCAGGATTATTTCCATCTAGACACACACTTTTTAATTTCCCTTTCCCTGCAATCCAGGACAGCTCGCAATGGGGCACCGAACCCCAAAAAGGATGCCAAAAGAAAGGTGTGCATGCATCTTGGGCATGGTCAGAGTGATGGGCCCAGTGCTCCTCCAGGCTCATGACTGGGTCTGCCAACACATGGTGTGAAAACCCCCCCAAACCAACTCTTCCCAAAGAGTTCAGCTGGGAGAGCACAGTCCTGCTATTGCCTAGTGAGGTCATTTGCAGAGGCAGCACTGGAGGGGCATCAGGAGGGATGCAAAAGGATCCCTCTGGGACCAAGGAAGAGACCAGGACTAGAATGAAAAAAAAAAAGGCAAGAGCGGCATGAGCACCAGGGGTGATCAGAGGCAGGAGGTATTGGAGGGAGTGCTACTTTCTTTTTGTTCAAGGGCACATCTTTATTCCTTTAAGAGCTGTCCTGTGTGGTAAGAACGGCTGGCACAGCTGACCCCACAGTCACCACCCTGGGAAGGGGTCTCCCATTTCAGATCACTGTTCCCTCAGTGTTATTTTTCACAGGTGCCCAGTGGTATGGCCTGTTGGATGCTTCAAGAATAAAAGCATGTGTGCAGAAAAATCTATGTATTTTACTGATTAGGTGGTTTGTGGTGTCCTTGGGGAGTGGTACAGGTCCAAGCAAGGGCAGGAAGTCAAAATTCTCTTCCTAGCAGGCAGAATCCGTCCCTCTTCTACTGTGCCATGGTTGTGGGAAAATTCAGGCTGCGTAAGCTGGGGGGTGCCCAGATCAGGGTTTGGTTCAGCCTTTTGTGAAGTTTCAGAGCCTGGTTCTGCTCTCCTGTTGTGTGCATGTCTGTGTACCAGGAAGTGTGTGGATTAATTCAGTGTTGGTTGGGTCCCAGGCTGTCTCTTCAGGGCTTTTCCCTAAGCTGATGGGTGCCTAAGGGCTTGGGTCCTGGTCCACAGCTGAGCTCAAGCGTCTTCTGGGTCTGCCGTGCTCTTTTTTAAATACGATGCAGTGGGAGTTAGAGTCTTTGTGCTATCGTGCTGCTCCGTGCTACAGCTAATTAAAGTCATTGTGAAGGGTTTTGTAGTAATTGCAGATATTGTAAAATTTAGTTTTGTGGAATAATTGGTAATGTAAGCCTGAAACAAGTTATCCTTAAGATGTTGTAGTTGGCATTTCTCGGTATGAGCAGCCTTTACAAAGAAGGCTTTTGTGTGTGAAGCGGGACCAGAATTAATGGTAGCATTTAGTCGTGCCTAAAGGGGTGTTTGCTGTGGCAGGTGGCAGGGCGGTGTAATTGATGATGCCTACATTCTGCGTGCTGCAGGAGGCTCCAGCAGCCACTAACTGCTCTACCTGATGAATGCCAACTAAAGAGAGTGAAAGGCCGCTGCCAAATCTATCCAGGGCTGATATATTCACATTTAAAATGAACGTGGCCCTTTCAGTCTCTAGGTCAGAGTGGGTCAGGCTCTGTTTGCTCCTACGCACTTAATATGCACTCTGGAGTTCTCAGGCATCCTCATATTTTCCGGTAGAATGCGGTAGCTATAAATTGCAATGTGAGGAAAATCCTAATGCCATAGAGATGTGCAGCTACCCATGCACGGGCTGGGCTGAGCTCCCTGCAGCGAGGGCTGCAGCCGGTTCTTGTCCCTCTGCTCTGGAGTGCTGCAAGGCCCAGCAGAACAAGGCAAGCTCAAGGGCCAGCACTGTAGTGCCTTGGGTGCCAAATGGCACAGGGGAATGCCTAGTGGGCACATAAGCAGCTTCGGTTCCTAAGTCCCTGATTTAAGTGAGATTTAGGTGCCAAACATTCCTTGATGCATTTGAAAATCCCACTCAACACCTCTCTGAACACTCAGGCGAGTAAAGACTATTGAAAATCTGGTCCTTAGACACCAATACAGCTGGTTTGTCTGGAATTAACAGTTTAAAAAGAAGTGCTGGCTCATGACTAAATGGAATAGACATCTGGGAAGAGCGAATATTGAAGACATTATGAAGAATCAGAATAAGAATTTAATTCAAGGCTGATATTTCCACTAGTAAGTTTTTTTTGTCAACAGATGCAATTTCTGAGCTCATCTATCAGTAATAAACTGGGTACTGATAAAATTGGAGGACTCTCACTTTCCAGCTGTTGACTTTGGGACTCTGTTGGGGTCTTCTCTGCTGTTCCATGGTACGTGAGCTGAGTATTCCCATTCCATTTTAATATTCACAGCATGACAGAGGTGATGAACACACGAGAACCAGTGATGGAGGAATTCGCACTCAGCCAGACTCCTGAGGAAGAAGGAGGCCCTTCAAGCCAGGTAACTTTAGCAGAACTGGAAAGTATCCCGAATTGCTTATCAAAACCAATTTAATGCAACCAATAACTGTCATAGACGTAGATGTTGAATTGTAGAGAACAGCTGCCAGAAAAACAAGCCCTGAAATACATGTTTCATCCCACTTAGGTTTTATTATTAAAAGGTAGAAGTTTGGCAAGAGTGTTTTGTCAGGTCTGCAGGGCACAGTGACAGCGATGCCTGGATCCTGCAGGGATGCAGGCAAAGAGGCTGTTTGTCACCAAGAGTTCAGATCTGAGCAACTGTTGTGCAATGAAGACATCCAGACAGTACTGTGCCATAGCCAGCTTTTATACAGCATCCTTGTAATAAGCTGAGTTTCCTCAGGCTCAGGGGGAGCTCCCTTTTTAGGGCAGTAATTCACATAAATGGCTGTGGCATCATAGCAGCAGCACTGGTCAGGGCTATTTGCTGGCAGGTGCAAGAGCATTTTGTGTCCCCAGGCAGTCTCAGACACCCACTCGTGTACCTGCCCATGGTGCTCAATCCAACAGGGTGGATCACGATGTCCCAAGCCCCTTTTGTGACAGCTCCCACATCCCAGTTTGCTCTCTGTGGTTGTGCTCATGATTCTGTGTCACTATCAGGAACAAAACACCCAAATGTGTTCTGGTTGGACCTGAGTTGCTCCTCTACACAAGGTGTAACATTGAAAGCAGACTCAGAAAACTACTCTAGGAGCAGCCTATTCCAGGTGGAAATCAAGGATTTGAAAGCCAAGGAAGTCAGAACTGAAATTTTGCAAATTCCACTTGGATCACTTGTGCATGTAATGAAAGCCTTCGTGCAATTAAAGAGCATACCAAAGGCTTTCCCATGCCTCAGCAACTGCACAGGATAAATGCTGCTCACGTAAGGAGCACATTTTCACCGAGTTCCAGGTTTTCAGTGTTGTGTTAGTGTATGCTGCACAAACTCTGTCCCAGCCCTGGCTCCACCTATGTGTTCAGGGCTGTTCTGTGGTGTCTCTGATCATTTGCTCCAGAGTTTTTCCCCCAGCTCCCTTTACCTTTCACCTCTGGAAGAAGGTGCTACCATCCACACTTTAGTGGTGGCCACCTAAGGCAAAAAAAATCAAATAGAAATGAGATGTAGTGCAAAGTCAGTGACTCAGTGGGAAAAGCAGGCTTCTTCCAGCAACTTCCAAGCACTTTGTCCAGGAGACTAGTCCTTCTTTTCCTGCAGTCTCCTGCCCACTTGTCATACACTCCAGCTTCCGCAGAAAAACACAGTGAGGCCCGACAGGCAGCTCTGCTTCCTGCCAGTCCTGACTCATTCCTGGAGGGACATGGTAAATACTGGGTTCTGCTGGAAAAAAAAATTATGTGATTGGTGTGAGGAAAGACCATATGAGGATGACACAAACAAAAATAGTCAGGCTGAGGCCGCACAGGTGCCTTTCCTAAATTTTGTTGCAACCGTAGTAATCAACTCTCAGCACATTTTTAGATTTTTCTGTTTCGTTTCCTCAGGCCTCAGAAAGCAGATGAAAAAGCAGAATTTTTGTTGTATTGGATCTCCCATCCAGGGTTTACCAGCAGGCTTGGGATGGGGTGGCTGTCATGCAGCCCTCTGCCACCAGAACAGGCTGCACAGCAGGCAGGGGAAGAGGTCACTGTCACCTGCATGTGCAGCCATGGGAGGAAATTCAGCAATTTGCCCCTAATTTTATGGTTATTTTCTGCCAGATGAGCTGTGAGGCTCAGGGATCTGGGCTCTGTGGTTCTGCAGAGCAGTGCACTGGTCCCAAGGGGCATCTCTGGTCCTGTCTCGGCCAAGGAGATTTTACTTTGTCTCATATTTGGAAACAGCAGGATTGTATTAGACACTTATTAAAAATTCCTCCCAGTCAAGACAGCTGCCATGGAAATGTCTTTTCAAATTACAAACAGGTCAGGTGGAGGCTGTGTAATGGGAAGTTGGGAGGAACTTTTCTAATAGGCAGCATGAGTGGCATTGCTTGGTCAGGATGAGTTATACCCTGTGAGTGCAGCTCAGGGAGGCATCAGAAAGGTTTACCTTCAGTGATTCACTTGGTCTAGTTGTACTGAAGGGGCTTTCTCACAAAAGAAATTTCTTCCTAATTGTATCTCACTTTGCAACACTAACAGTAATACACAACATTTCTCACCTTTGTATGGATTTGCAAAAAGTCATGAATGCTACTATGGGGAGTGAGGGCTTGAGGATAAGGTTTGTTGTCCTTCCCCATCTCCAGAAGTCAGATACAGACATCCCAACAGTATTAAAACTGTGCTTGCTTCTTCCTAGAAGCACAGCCCTTCCCAAGGGCTTGCCTCCCCATGCTAGCTGTGGTGCTAAGTGGGACAGCTAAACCCCAGGCTCTTAGGGAGTGCAGCTGCATGAAGGAAGGTTTCAAAAACCATGGAGCAAACACCTCCAGTGGGTTATGACATCCCCAGATCCCTGTCAGTGTCCTAGGGGATGTGCCCACTCTTGTGGTGGTTAGGGAATATCTGCATGTTTCTACCTGTGCTCGTAGCGGGAGCTGTGCTGAGACTGGCTCACATAACCAGCAGTGTTTGGTCTAACCAGAGACCCAGATTCAGTGGTGAATATGTTGCAGGTGTATGGGGAGGCTCCCACCAGCACACAGCAAACCTGTGGCAGCATCTGAAGTTAAACTGGGATTGTTCTTGCTCTCAACTGCTAGTTTGATCCCCTTGCATGCATCTTGATTTTACTGTTACAATTAAAATAAAATAAATAAAATAAAAATAAAACTCAACTAGCACTGAGAGATGTGCAGCTTGTTAGCTAAGGTATACAGAAGTTTGAGAATCCAGGAGATAAGGTTTCAGTGAGGCAACAACAGAGTTTCTCACGGAAATGTCCTGGAGGGGCTGGAATGATTTTTCTCAAAAAAAACCAGAAAAAAACCCAATTCAAAACAAAGTACCCTGAGAGATTTAAGTGATCCAGCAATGTTGAAAACGGGAAAGCACTTTTACATGTTACAACCTCCTTCACTAAAAAGACCTAGTTCAGCTTCAAGCTCTAACCACGGTGTAGTGTTTGACCTGCAGCTTCAATGTGACAAATGAAAATAAACAGCTGGCACCATTCTCTGTGTAAAAATCATCTCTGGGGCTCCTTGTTTTGCATGAATGCATCATAAAATATAGTGTTTCACATTACACAAAATAGCCCTACAGAATGGTGGCTTCTTAATAAACTGTCACTGCAAGAAGACATGAATATTATATCAAAGTGAAAGGACAGCAGCCAGAAGGGCTGCAGCAGCCATTTAGGTTAGCATTATAGCAATGACTTCTGTGTCCTAAAAACCCATCAGAATTGAAACAGGAGTGTTTGGCAGCATAAAAAATTATGTCTCCAAAGTCTTCATTTTTACTACTCACGTTGGATCACACAAGGCAATTGTCTGCTCAACACACTGACAAGCAAAGTGTGTTCTTTGCTCAGGAAGGGACAGAATATACAGGGGAGAGTATGATGAGATCTATAGCCCCTGTGCATGCATGCTTGTCCAACAAGGATCTGGGTTCAGCTGCTTTTGAAATCCTCCCTGTGCAGGACTGTTTCCCTGCAGCAGTTTGAAGAGGATTTTTTTAAGGGACATGTGAGTGCATGTCAAATGCAGAAAGGATGTACTCTGCTTGTTCTGAATATGCATCCCTGGGCAAGGCTTTGATGTACATGTCCCCAAATGTCTCCCCAGGCCTTCCCAGACTCACGTGAGAAGTACCCCAAGCTGTCCAAAAGACTGCCTTCGATCGTGGTGGAGCCGACTGAGTCCGGGGAGGTGGAGAGCGGGGAGCTGCGCTGGCCTCCTGAGGACCTGAAATCAGCAGAGGACAAGGGTCTTCATGGTGACCAGAGAGTCTGTGTCCAGCAGCAGCAGCAGCAGCAGCAGATGGATCTGGAAGGTCTGAATGAGTAATTTTCATCCTTGTTTCCCATAGGAGAATAGCTGTTTCAGACCATGCCATGCACTGAAGTTAACAGTGAACCAAAGAACTGCAGGTAGTTGAAGATGTCCAGAAATACTTACACTGGAGAAGGAGCCCTGTGGACTGAAAATTTCCTTGTAGCTTTTAAGCACATGGTGTTTTCATCCACCTCAGCCACTTTCATGGCCAACAGACAGTTCACTGCACGTTAGCAGTTCACACTCAGAAACAGAAATCCTGGTCAATAACGTATCTACCTCCCTGTCTCCTATCCTAGAAGCAAAGTGTTTAACAGCTGCACATTTTTGAAGCATTGTGATGTCTCAGGAGTGTGTTAGTGCAGCAGGAGCTCATAGACATGTAGCTATGACTAGCAGTGTCACTGTAAATATGTCAGTGGTAAATATGGCTAAAGATAAGAGTTTGTTGGACTGTAGCTTGCACAGGGAGTGCTCCAGTGTGGATCTGATCTATTTGTTTCCTATTTTTTTTTTTCATCTCAGCCGCTATCCTTTTCTCTTGAAAACTGACCCGGTTTCCATTTCAGTGAACCAGCATTTGCCACCCAAGTGCCCAGACACAGCAGCCAGGAGATGGGGTGCAAGATGCACCTTCACTTCCCTTCAAAGGGGTGTTGACAAATGGTCTTGAAGTGTAAAATCACCTGCTACTCCAGTTGGTGTTTCTGGGTGGTGACAACCACAGAGTTTGATCACTCAAGTAGAAACACGAGCCAAATCTATTTCTGACCTCCAGGTTGCACATCGTGGCCTCTGTGCTGGTTTTGTGCATTGTTGTTAAACTCATTATGACAGTCTGAGCAGATTTCAGACAGCAGGTAGTGTTCCTGTGGCAGTGGCTATGCATAGGGATCACCTCACCTCTCTAATATCTGACCTGAGGTCTCAAGTTTTCTGTAAAGTCAGACTGTGATGCACTCAGAATTCCCTACTCCAGGTTTAACTACTGGTTTGCAAGCAGAGAAAAATGCTTGTATCAGGTCTAATCACCCTAATGGATCAACTGCTGGGTGGAGCAGGGAATCAAACAAAGGTTGGACCTGTCTGGGGAAATAAATACTGACGAGCCATTTCTTTGCAGATACTTTAGCACACCCAGCTCAAGAAGTGGAAGACAGTACAGACACCCTGGAAAGCAGAACTGAAGAGCATGAATAGGAACTCCATGGCCTCAGAAGTGAAACTTCATTGTGAATGTTGTTGGAAAGCTAACACACTCTGAAGACATGTCAAAGTAATCTGTATTTAAATCTGCAAGGGTTTTATTTAGTTAGTACCTAAAGAAGTGTCTGGGCTTTAGAACTGTTCTTTTAACATTTTGATTTTCAGGCTGGGATTCATACTATTTGTTTAATTTTCCCTTGGGAAGCAGTGGGATGTGTTAGGAAATATGAGACTGTCAAGGAAAAGATGCTCCTCATTTCAATTAGTGCATTGCATTGGTTTTACCTTTTTCAAGAAAGGCTGCTTTCAGATATCAACAGCAGGACAAAGGTATTGCGTTTCTACAGGAAGGATGTCTTAAATCTAAAACCTTTCTTTTTTTTTTTAGCCATTTAAAACTAGCACTGTGATATTATGGACAATAGATGTAATATAATGTCACCAGTTGATTTTGTAACTTTTGTATAGAGATGCAAGGGCAAGGTTTGCCTCCTGGCTGCCGCCCCGGGGCAGCCCAGAGCAGTTCTCTCCCTTTGGCTAACCTGGGCAAATTTGGATGAACCAGCCTTTCCTTAGCTGCCTTTTCAGTAAGGCTGATGCCTTTTGGAAGCGCTTTCTCTCTGTACATTGATGAAACGATGAGCTAGTCGCTGGTGTTTGTGGAGTGGGGCTGTCTGGGGTGGGCTTGGTTGGGTGGATCGTGCTGTTCGTGCACGCTTCAGGCCAGATGGGGAGCACTTCCCTCCCTTAAAGCCAATGAGATGGCTCCTGCTCCCCCCAGGGCTGGTTTTGTTCCACCTTGTTAATAGAAATTGTTGTGACATTTCTTCTTTGGTATGTTTGGTGTATAACCCAAGTGCAGAGATGCATCTGTTCTTCTCCCGACCCAAGCTGGGCAGCGGTAGGGGGTAGGTGGCAGGAGCTCCCTAGCACATCCCAAACCTGTCCTTCATTTTGTCTGGCTTCAGGTTTCCCCCTGAGCCACCTGCAGTAGGAGAGGGTGGAGGAGAGCTGCAGTGGTGGGACAAACACCTGCCTCCCTCTTGCCCCAGTGGCACTGCTGGTGGGAGCGCACATGCCAAGGGATACCCTCACAGCTCCCTTGGCTTTGGATGCATAGTCACCTCCTGGGGCCCAGAGCTCACAGGAGGACAAGCTGTCTGTGGACACCTCTGGCCTCCAGTGGATTTTCCTTGGGAATTTGGGGGTCATTTTGACAGATGTGAACCCCTTCCTGCACGGGAACCTCCAAGAGACTCCCTCCCAGTGTCCCAGGAGAAGTATCTATCTCAGCTCAAAACCCTTTGGATGGTGCTGGTGGGGGTAGAGAATGTGTGCACTCAGAGGGACTTAACTGTGTCGGTGATGAGTGTCCCGTAAGCTGTGAGGTTGGCTTTCTCCGTCTCTGCAGGGCTGGATGGGGTCTGTACTTCCAATTAATGTTGCATCCAGAAGAAGCCGCTTGCTGTAGATGGAATGAAGTAACAGGATTCCTTCCAGCATTAACTTCTAAGTTGACTTCCAAGTGCTTTCTTTTCTCCAGTAATAATTTTCTCTAATGGCAACTTTTAATTGTGTGATGGTCAATAAAATTTACTGGCCAGATGTATTAATAAGTTTATAACTTCTTAGCAACCAAATTTAATATATTTACTCACAAAGAATTCTGTGCAATGAATGTTTAATACAAAGGGAAGAGACTATTTTACTTCAAAGCAACATTAATTTATGTACAAAACTATAGCTCATTCTTTGGGGTGTTTGGGATCTAGGACCCTTTTTATAAGCAGTGTAGTACAGTATAATGTGATACTTAAGTTAAACTTTGCTCTCTCAACCTATATAACAATTTGTTTTGCATTCTTGATGTAGACTTTCTTGAGTACACTGTCACAGAATTATTTTGTCAGGTGAGTGGGATTCTGGTCAGAGCACTGAATTTCACCAGAGTAACTGAAGGTTTCAAGAGCACCTCCTAAATCTGGCTGCTATCACACCCTTCACTGGTGACAGTTTTCTGACAGAGCCAATGAAGCAAGAACAAGCTCAAGCTACATGTTGGGGTAGCAGTGGAGCAATGAGGGGAGGTCACCAGCTTGAATTCACCATGGGCAGGAGAAGAGCCATGCTGGCGAGGTGGCCAGGCTGATGGGAGGTGTTCTTTCAATGCTGCTTTTGCATCGAATGTCAAGAAGTTTTACAAAGCTATGGGGAGAAAACAACAGTGGTGACGACATATTTTTAGCTCTGTGATTTCCTTCCAATCTGCATCTGCCCAGCTCCATGAGGAATGACGTTAGACATATCACTTAATTTGCTTTTCGCTTTATAAAAGGAAAACCAGTTGTTTGAAACACTTCCCTCAATTTTATGTGCTCTCTATCTGCTTTCAGACGCTCCCTCCCTTCCTGCTCTGGATGGCCCTTATCCTATTTCCACCTGAGGTCAATGGCACTTCCCTAAACAAGTTTCCCAAAGAAACAACAAAATTCTACATACACCCTGAAAACACACCATGCAAGCAGCACTACTTTTTTTCATCCATGTATGTAAAGCTACAGCCCATATAGAAATCCCAGATTTCCTTTTTCCAGCCTAATTACTCCTCTCTTTTCTTTTCCCCTCTTTTGCACTTCTCCCCTGAATTATTTTACCTGAAGTGGTTGCTTCAAACTAAAGCTTTGTCCTAAAGCTGTGTGGCCTCAGTTTAACATCCATGCAAAGCCAAACTCCTCCTCCCATTTTTATTTTTCTGAACATGGGCCAGAGGCCCGAAAACAGGAGAGCAAGATAGAGAGAAAATTGTTTTATACAAACAAGCCCTATTTATTGAACTTGCAGGTCTATGAATGTCCACTTACTTTGTCTGTGTGCAAGTGTTGTCTCTCTAATAAACTCAATAGTTGTTTTGTATTTTTTTCTGGATTAAAAGCTTTGTAGAAACCAAAAAGAAAAAAAAAACATTCGGTCATATTTTTCTAGTCTGGCTTGTAGAATACTTCATGTAGTGCAGAAAGGAAGTTTTATGGAGTAAGACATTGTTGGATTTTGCTCTATTTCAGTTCTTTCTAATTTTGTAAAATGCCACCTGTACATAATACTCAACTAATGTATGTCCTGTAGATGTATTACACCATTTAGCCTATTAAATGCCTATACTGGACCGATTGGAAGAAGCGGTTGTATCCACAGTTTCTTGGTTCAAAAATGCAAAGGGTTATTTGTGGTGGGGGGTGTCCTACCACCAGTACAGGGAACAAAGCCCACTCTAAGCTTGCCTTCGTCCTGTGGCATGTAAATCCTCACCCAGGCCCTCCAAGCACATGCTCCTACACAGATAAATTCAGGTTTACACCAATGGCAGTTGCCATCACTGTCTCTTTCTTTTGTGCCCTTCCTAGACCAGGCAGCTCAACACCCCTTGCTTCTGTTTTGGGATTTCCTCTGCCCTGCTCACCCTGGTGGTACCTGCCTTGCTGTGCTAGCAGCAAGCCAGTTGACTCATCTTCATTCACCTTTTAATGCAATGCACATTTTTAACATTTTCTGGAAAGGCTATTGTAGAGCCCAACAGGAACTCACATTACTGGAAACCTATACCCTGTGCAAAGGGAGCAGGGTCATGTGGCAGAGAAGATGAGAGGCAGAGATAGCTTGCTGCTGAACAACTGATTTTTTTCCCCAAATGTCAAGTTACCAAAAAGCAAAAGATCAGATAACTGGAGGGTGAGGCTGCATCTCACTTACCCCATTCAAAAAGCAGCTGCTGCTCGCTGAGATGGGCAAGTCAGCACAGCAAAAGGCATTGCTTGGGGTCAAAGCCAGTTCTCTGCTGCTGTGGGGCTGTGCCTGATGGGCAGTGGTGGCACAGCAAGGGAAATTGGCTGTATCCCAGGCTGGAGGCAGTGAGCCCAGCTTTGGCACCGTGGGGCTTGCAAACCTGATGCTTAATGTCACTCAGTACTGGAGTTTCCATGCACCACGCATGGAAAATGTCGTGTCCAGGCATACGTTACTCCGAGGGTGGGATGACAAAGGGACTGACACTCCCTTCTCCTCACCTCCGTAGGAACTGTCCCTTCCCCCTGTGGTTTTCCTGTGTGGTGTATGGTGTTCAGCCACATAAGGATGCAACAGGTGCTACCTGATGGCTCCAGAGGATGCAATTTCAACTGGTGCCTATTTTATGTTGCTGTGAGATCTGTGCTGAGTCCTAGCTGTTCTCTTTCCTTGAGTCAGAAGGCAGGGGGAGTTTATCTGTAATTAATTAAATAGAATGAGCATAGGGAGTTTATCTGTAATTAATTAAAGAGGATGAGTGTGGGAATACTGTTGTCTTACTCCTAACATTTGTATTATAAACTTATATTCACTGGATCCTCAGGTTATTCCATTGACTTGAGACATTTTCATTTATTTTTAATCAGACATCTGCTTAGTAATTTTTCTTTTAGATGTATTCTGCTTGATGCTCCTGTCTAAAGAAGCGAGTAATGTTTTCAGTGGAATTAACTTTTATTTAAACCACCAGTAAGAGATGAAACGAACTTTTTTATGATGTTAAACTGAAAAATGTCACGTCTAAATTAAATCAATCCTAATTTGTGTTTTTATCATCTTTTTAGTTTTTTCCAAATCCAGTGTTTTTGTGAATTCTTTTGGGAGAAAGGTGATCCCTGACAGCCACAGGGAGCCATGATTCCCATAACAAATGGCACATCCCTCACGTTTACGTTATAAAAGCTCATGTCATATGCACTGCTTCCACCACAAATTAATGCAAGAGACCCTTCTCTCCTCTGTCTTTGAACACATATTATGGCTTTCATTTCAGAGACAGTAACTCTCCATAGTTTAAATTCACTCAGTTCTGGAAAATTAGGATTTTAAGATATTCTTTTTTTGGTTTGTTTTTTTCTTTCTTAAAAAAAAAAAAATTGAAAATAAATTCAAAACATTTAAAAGTTGCAGTTTTCCTCTTAAGAACACTCATAAGATACTTTCCTTCATTTTCTCCAACAATTCTGCCATGAAGAGCCCAAAAACTTCCCATCTGACCTTAGCAGACCTCCCTTCTGGAGACCATCCCTGAGCCCAGTGAGGGTGTGGGCAGGGGCAGAGGAGCAGGGGTCTCTATGGAGGTGGAGCCGTGGACTAGGGGCTGGTCTCACGCTCAGCTTTCAAACCCCAGACCTCACACCAGAAAGGACAAGGATCTTTTCATCCTGCCTGAAAATTTGCGCCCACACACCGAAGAAAATCTGTTTAAAATGCCCATGATTGCACTGAGTCCTGCCATTAAATGGATGTTTGCAATCAAGCCAGCATTCAGCTTCAGCATGGCTCCTGGAGTGTGACAAATTGTCTTTATGAATTAGTCATTTAATTTGTGAAAGATAGTTTGGATATTGTCACATACCCACATGTCCTCCATACCCCTGACAACTGTGCCCCCACCCATTACTATTTAGTAGGTGATGAAGCCAAGAAAACCCTTGGGACTGGAATGCTGTTGGGACATACAGCCAGACCCCAGATCTAGGCAAAGCTCCAGTTTTCCAGCACCAGAAACCTCAGAAAAACCTATTGTTGCTGTCAGCTATTCACTGATGATGATTTGAAGTAAAAGCACAGGAATTTCTCTCATCAGCTCAGCTTTCCCTTGACAGCCTTGTACATGCACCTTCAGGGTGGTGAGATATGGCCAGTACAGAAATGCAACACAGGGGCAGAACAAAATAAACTGAACATGGCCAGAAAACCAGCAACTCAATTGCTCTTTCACTGTTACTGGTCTTTAACTCCTAACTTGCGTGCTTGTGGGGAAGTAACTAGCTTTTTTCCCCAGAATTTACAACTGAGACAAGACAAAGTGAACTAGACACAAGAATGGTCTCCACACAGTGTAGAGTGCACTGGCTCTTGAAGCAGCATAGTTGTTTTTTTAATTCTAAATAGCCACTAGCACTAGCACTCCTGTTCCCCTGCAGGACATGCATATGGCTGGGGCAGCTCATCCTCCCCCTCCTAATGAGCCTGAGGGCTGGGTTCTCCTGTAGAAGAGGTTTCTCTAAATCTCAGGTTTTTCTGTCCATCCTGGTTTTGGTTAATGTGGCCCAGAGGTGTGATGCTTGGACAGCATCCCTCAGCAGAGAAGGAGCAAACCCCACCCTTGAAGGGTCTCTGCACAGGAGGAAGAGCAGCTCCTGATGCCTTTTCCATCATGAAGCTCCCCAGGTACCACAGGAATGAAGAGTCACTCCCACAACGCTGAAACAAATTTTGCTCCAGTAGGAACAAGAAAAAAAATGAAGATAGGTTTTGGGATGCTAAATGCCAAGAAGACTTGGTGCTTAAAGCACCAAGCAACCAGAAAACATGAGCAAAAGCAAAGCAGCCCGTTGACTCCTGCTGGCCTCGGCACCTCCTTTCTAGCTGAAGGTCTCTCTTTGGACCAAACCCGGTGCCCTCAGTTCCCTTTAATGACCCTTTAGCCCAGGGATACATCTCAGATTGAAGCTGTGCTCTAAAGTGGGATTGTAACTGAGCAGGCACATCTGAATTCCCTAGTTCACACAGAGGCTAAGGTGCTGCTGCCTATTTATAGGCAGATGGGTTAAATAAAGTGCCTTATTCATCCCTGAGGTTTTAAACAAATTCCAGAGAGGACAAAGGGCGTTGTGTCTTTTTCCCCACCCATATTTTTTTGGCCCAGTTTGTACATGCAGAGCTCAGACTTGTTCCAAGAGTGATTCAAAATAAGACTAGAGAATTATTTGCTGGCTCAGCATGAACCACTGTCCTGCTAGAAATCATCTGTATGGTTTTCATATGCATTCTGTGAAAAAGAAGCTATTAAAAAATGTAAAGTTTTGGGGTGTGGGTACAAACTGTGCTTACAGATCCACTGATAGTAATCCCTCAATATCCTGGCTTTGCTTAGAGTCCACTGCAGCTGATGGATGAGTTTGGGTACCAAGGGGAAGAAAGAAGGAATAAAATGAGGGTATTTTAAGACCTTGTTTTATAGAAATGCTCAGTAATTTATTGAAATAAGCAGAACAAGAGATGGTCCTTATCATGCTAAGCTGCTGTCCCAGTCAAGGCCAGCTCGCTGAGTCAATACACTTTTCATTGCATTCTCCAAAGTTTTTCTGGTCTCTAACAGTGATGTGTGCCCTTCTCATGTGCAGAGCCTCAGCAAGTTTGGACAGGAGTGCTGCTGGCCAGGCCTCACTGTGTGAATAGCATTGCTTAGGTGCTTGCATCTCATTCCAGCAAATAGGATAGAACTGATCCAGCTCACAAATAATCCAGACATGTAATTACCTTGTTTTTGCAATAGGTAATTTTGTCACAACCCTGCATCTGGCCCGGGTCATGATAACCACTGTTGTAAGCCAGCCAAAGCTTTCCTTCCAAGTGATTCAATTTTAAACTCTTCAGGGTAGCAACTGCTTTTTGGTTGTTTTGTACTGGAAAAACCTTAGAAGAAAACATGAGGTTTGGGAGGAAATCAACAGGAGATGCCTGCAGCATTTTACCCACACAGGTGTGCCTGGTCCATACCCTACCTGAGGCTCAAGATGTGCCTGCCCCACTTTGGAGTGCATTATTTTATATTCTCCCCTCTGCCATCAGCCCTGCTTCCCCCTACAGCCCACACAGGGATCCCAGCTGTGTGGGTGAGCTGGCTCTGGCAAGGACAAAACCAGCAAGGTTTAGCTGCATTCACAACTGCAGGACCAAACCAAGAGTGGGCTGAGATGAAAGGAATCAGGTGAAATGGTCCAAGAACTGCCCAACATGTTTGCCTAAAAGTAGAGTAAAAGCAACACCTGTGAGTCTCTCCAGTTATCTTTCCTGGTTACTCTCGAATTGCCAGGAAAACTATAGACAAATTAACTAATTTGGTTTTTGGTGGTTTTTTTCCCCTCCAGAAAAGCTTGCATGCATTTATTCAAAGACATTAAGTGTTTCTGCCATGCAGAGCTCTTCCAAGAGCTGTGCTTATTATTCCAGATTTACAATAAAAATCTTGTGCAAATGACCTAGATACATAGAGTACAGCACTTAAGTGGGGATTTGGCTGAATCCAGCACACATATCTTATCAGAAAACATCTACAGGCTTGGGAAAACACCATGATAGGATCTTACAGAGTCTTAATATATAG